CAATGTAGCTGGGTTCTTTATAAGGCCACAAGCAATGTGTTGGCTAGCTTAAATTGCTCTTATCTGGAACCTCAGTTCAGGTTGTTGGCATAATTTAGTTGCTTATGGTTGCGTGACTGAGATCCTGTTTCTCTGATTATCTTCAAGGCAACTTTCTTTCTCAAGTCTTGAAATTCTGACTTCTGCTATGTCTCTGATTCCAAGTAAGGAAAGTTACCTGGTTTTAAGAGATCATGTGATTAAACTGGACCATTTTGATAATCCAGAGTTATCTCCTTATTTTAAAATCTGTAATATAATTACATCTGTGATGTTCCTTTTGTTATATGATAAAATTTATTCACATGTTCTAGTATTAAGCCTTGGATGCTTTCAGGGGGGAACATTCTGCCTACTGCTATAAACAAAAGGGAATAGAAAGATTAGATAGATAGGTAGATAAGACAGGAGTTAGTGTATCAAAGAATTTTAATTTGTCAAAATAAAATCCCACAAAGAAAATTCCAGAGTCCAATAGCTTCACTGATAAATTCTATTAAATACTTTAATAAAATATGCCAATCTTATACCAAAGAAATCATTCAGAAAACAAAAGTAAAAAACAATTTTCAGCTTGTTTTACAAGGTCACCATAGCTCCCATTATAAACTTCTACAATCACTAAAAGGAAATCATAATCCCATGTCCATCATAAATTTAACTGCAAAAAATTTAATAACATATAATCAAAATGATCCAGAAATACACCAAACAGACAATATATAATGACCAAATAGAAGTTAAGGAATGACAGATTATAACAAGGTATTGCAACAGCATAAGGTTGATAAAGCACAGGATCATATTATTAGACTCAGGAAAAGCATTCAACAAATTCATATCCATTTATGTTAAAACCAAATACTCTTAGTAAACTATGAATCAAAAGAAATACCAAAACAAAATACAAAACAAAAATACAAGATCCAACATTATACTTAATGGTAAAAGACTGAGGCTTTCCCTACTAAGATTGGGAGCAAGATATTGTACAGAGTTGTCCATCCTGTGCAGCAAAGTATGGAGAAAAAGAAGGTCACTGGAAAGAAAGAATAAACTATCTCAACTTGTAAATGATATAATTGCTTATGTAGAAATTTCTAAGAAAATTCTAAACTTACTAAAAATGTAGCAGTCTCAGGACAGAAGGTCAAGACAAACATACCAAAGGAAGTAGAGCCCAGAAATAGACTCTACCTATAAATAAGAACTCCTATTTCATCAAAAAAATCTCATCAAAAGACACTTTAAAATATGAATATGCGAGTCACAAAACAAGTGGAAATTTGTTTGTTACACCAAAGCCTAATGTGAAGGTTAAAGACATTTAACAGTAAAAAGAAATACAAGTCCCTCACCCACAACAGTCAAAAGGCTAGAAAGATTCTCCACAAAGGAAAACATATAAATGACTTATGTATGCATTATATGAGAAGTCACAAATGACCACCATCTCCTGCATTAAAATTCTAAGCTCATTGCTTGAAATTCTTATGAAATGCTAGTCCTGATTATTAGTTCTGAAGGAAATATAGACAATCGTTATATATTATTTCACTAATCACTAGAAATAATCCTTCATTTTCTGTCAATTTAGAGAAAAATATTTTTCAGAAAATATGTATATATCAAAAACTACCTTGAACATAACACCAAACTATTTATACAGGCATATCAGATGCTTTTTAAAGGACAGTATATGCTTTTTTCAAGAGTTTCTTTAATTTAAAATATTACAAATTAGGAAAGCAGGCAAAAATAAGAAGCCCATTTTGTTTCAAACTAATAAATAAACTAATTTTTTTCAAAAAGAGAAAAGATTTTTTTTTTTGTACCAGGGATTCAACTCAGGACTTTGCACTTGCAAGGCAGGTGGTGGAACCACTGACCTAAATCCCCAGCCAGAAAAGAATTTATTAGGAAAACGAAATTATGAAATAAGATTTTGTTTGTGACTCATCTTTTAAAAACCTAAGTAAAAATATTTAGGGATTATTTTTCAAATGACAATGTTGTTCAGTCTTTAATAATAATATTAAAGAATTTCAACTACTTGTCTTCTTGTAATTTGACCCTTCAAAGTCACCTGAAATATGCCTATGTTTAGAAGTACAGGTGCTGAGTATTACTGCCGCTTTAAATAAATTTAAATTTTTGTAGTGTTTACTCTTCCTATGACTATATAGTCTTAAAAATCTAATAATGGAGAGAAGTTAACATAATAGCAATTTATTAATTAAAGCAAATCAGTTATGTGCTTCAATTAACTATACTTAAAAAATCTTTGATTTCTTATAATGCAGGTGTTCTGCATCATAGCAATTAGGAATCTAGAATTTTAAAATGAAAAATCAATTCCAACAAATAAAATTCACTGTAAATATTCTACCCACAAGGAAATTAATTAAATTGTATCTAATTTTTATAGTACTTTGCTGTTAAAGTTCTGATAAAGATAGGATATTACGCTGCCTACTATGTATTTAGTAGACACAGGAGACAACTTGAAATATTTCTTATTTCCTAAAACATTAACTTCATAAAGTTCTATAACATCTATGACCCTTCTGAACAAAAACACTTAGAAGAAAATAAAATCAATACAGAATGTAGTTTATTGCCTAGTGACTTATTTTCACACAGAAATGTCAGCACATATATGACATCAGCTTTAAAAACTAACAATTTATTCTTGGGGTTTTTAAATTCTGGGAAACTTTTCTTGCTGTATAAATTTAGGATTGCAACATGATGTTTTGCTACACATATTGGATCTTGACACTACCTACAGTTGGATCTTGGCACTACCTACTGTAAATTATCATTTACCAATAATATGTCTTGAGTGCAATAGCTTGTATCCTTATTGTCTGCCCAGATTCTTTTCACATCAGGTCTGTAATGAAAAGCTAAGTCACAAATAGAGGTATTACAAGATACACAATAGGGTCACTGTTCCCTGGAACAAATCAAATTTTCAATAACTCAAGATAATTTGAGGGTTTGTATTAAATAATCCTTCAACAAACAATTAAATTTTATATATCTTACATCTACAGTCCCTTCAGGTACCTTGATATACATAACCCATAAAATAAATTAAAAGTAAATCAAAGCAGATGTTTGAAGTTCTTGATTCATTTAAAAAAACATGGAAAACTTTAAGCCTGGATTAATGTCAAATATTTACGTTGCTAGGTTTGGCAGCAGAGGTGGGATCTCAAGAGAAATGACACATCCCAAATAGCGTGTTCTATTCTCTCAAACCATTCATAAAATGCCTTTCTGTTACGCAATGGGAGCACTCTGCTTGGTTAATGAACGCAGGCTTATATTTAGCGTTAACTGTCTATACACAGAAAGGAAAAATATACTCATCCTAACTTAAAAAGAAATTTAAGATAGATGCTTAGGAAAAGACACCTTTGTACCAGAGTCTTCTGCATTTCTCAAGGAAGCAAACCCAAGAGTGCTGCTGATATGGGGAATCCAAACATACAATAAATGGTAAACATACAATAAACCTTACACAGGAAAGCAGTGGTTGGGTCTTGGAAATGGAGTAAATCAGCTATGTGAACACTGACAAGGCTAACATGGCTCTGGGTCAACCAGGTCTAAATGTGATTTCTATTTTCTGCTGATACTGGACACTAGAAAAAGACTTTGGGGACTCCAACATTGGCTTCCCTTTTTTAATGTGTCCACCAAGCAGAATTCCGTCTATACCAAATGCCGGTGGAGAGTTCTCAACTCTAAGCCTCACTGATCTGCCTTAAACCTCTGAATTTACACGGTACTCACAAACCTGGAAAGCCAAGAGGAATGATCAAGCCACCAGGAGATTGCATGTTCTTCTGACTTTTGTTTCCTAGCGTTTTCATTTTCGGTACACACTCTCCTACTCCCCACCCCAACTTACCGAGCCCATAAAAATAATGAACAGCCTTACCCCTCATCCAGACCGCCCTAACCCACACGGAACGTGGAGGACCCAACTCCGACCCCAGAAGAACAGAGTAGCCTCTCTGCGAGTGGCTGCGTGACCCTTCTTAGGGCAGATTGTGCTTGGAACAAGGAAAAAAACATTTCTCAGTTCCTCCCGAGGCCACTCTTCCTGCAAAGACCCACCTGCATGGGCGCTTCGTGTCTCATTGTAGGCAAATGTCCTTTCTCTCTGGCTAGAACGGCGCTGGCCCGGGCGCTTGGTCAAGCGTGCAGCCGGTGCGTTCCACGCTCCACACTGCACGCTTGGGTTTCTCTAAACCGGTTCCAACATCAGCACCGGAGCTGTCCGCTCCAGGCGCTGCGCACGCGTACTGGCCGACAGCCCCGCGCACTCAAGGGAGTTGTAGTCAGTTCTTGCAGGGCTTCCGTGAATATGGGCGCTCCAAGAACTACAACTCCCAGCAAGAACAGTAGGAACAGCTCGCTCCTCCAGGGACAGTGGAGCACGGAGCCTCCCTCCTACCTCTTCCGAGTCGTTCCTGCCTGGTATTACTGCTCTCAGTCTCTCCTACCCAATTCCTCACGTGGGGAAAGTTACCCCAGTTAGTCCCAGCTGGAGATTTTTCTTAGTTAACAGTCTCTTCGGGAGCCAGACCGTGCTTTCCCGGGCACTACTTTGTGCTAATTTTCATTACGAACGAATTGTTCTGGGACTCTCCGCCTTACCTTACCCTTGTTCACCCAGAATCCGGAAAGTTTATACATTTCCCTAGGCTGAAAGAGGTAGCTTCCGATCTTATTCAACAAACAAGGGAGAAAATGACAATGGGTAGCACGCATGTAAGGAAAGTGGTTTATCTTTGTGTTTCACTGAGAAGGCGCGCGCGCCCAGATAAACACGCGTGCGCGCGCACACACACACACACACACACACACACACACACACACACGGCCCAAAGTCCGTAAAAGCGAGATTTTTCTCTGGACACGCTGAGGAACTCGCTTCTGCTTACCTTTCCATACAGCTCCATTGCAACTCGAGGCTTAGAAATTCTCAAGTTGATCTTGCTTCCAAGGAGGTTAAGGGCCAAGGCTGGAAGCAGGGCTAAAGCGAAAAGGCACAACACAATGGAAGTCCGGGAAGGGGCAGCGGCGGGCGGAGAGGGAAAGGAGGGACGTTGAAGGGCCGCTGAATTCGATGGACGTCTCCTTTCCTGTGGAGGCAGGGTGTACTCTAAAAGTGGCAGCTGCAGAGAAAGGGCTGCGAGTCTCTCAAGAAGTGCGAGGGGCTACAAGCCGGGCAGCCCCTCCCAGGCACCTTCCTCCCGCCTTCTCAGCGCGCGCCGCACCCCTCCCCGGGCCCTGGCTGGGCGAGCTGACTGGGCACTGGGTTATTTACCCAAAGCAAGTCGCATAAAATGAACACATTCCCAGAGTCCAGAAGCACAATCAGGGAATGAGACGGGAGACCTCTATTAGGTTATCCTGTCCTTTCTTTAACATAGAGCCATTCCTTATACTGCAGTCGCACTTCTAGACTAGTTCATAACACCGTTTTGAAATCTCTGGACTGTATTTTTGTTACACTTAACGTTTTCGTCAGCTGACTGATATGTATGACCCTTTATGTACTGTGTACCTGAGAGAGACAGCTCTCTCCCCCAAGAGTGAACACTGATCATCCATCAATGATCCCTGATTTGGCATGAAGTAAATTTTTTATACTGGAGGCTGAGTACAAAAGAGAATGGTAGTGTGTTTGCAGGAAGGCAAGGAAGAAATGACTTGAATCAGCTTTAAACTTCATTGCATGAGACAAAGCAATAGAATGGAGGCTCTGGAAGTTAAATGTGCCTGACTGTCTCTCGGGTGGGAGGGCTAACATTCGCATTCTCCAACCACGTGTAGAGATTCTGATGGACTAGATCTGATGAGAAGTCTGGGTATTAGCATTTAAAAAACTACCCAGCAATTCTGAGGCAAGCAGTTCTTTTAAATAATTTGAGAAACATTACCTTAGAAGAATTTTTAATGTAGACTTTTTCAAAGATACAAACCTTGAAAATTTCACCATATAGATTCAATAATGCGGCAACCATGTCTACTAACCCATGGTATTCTAACTGCCAGGTTCATTTGAGCCTTTGTTTTGTTTCGTAGCAATCTAAGCTCTGTTTTCTAATCTTGCAATTGGTAAGCATGTATTGTGATACCATCTAGGTAAATTAGTTCTATAACTTCTCAGAAAGTGCATTTTAAAGTGCTCACCTCAGATTTGAGGTTTATGCAATATTAAAAATTTTAATTTAAAATAGCTAATAAAATTAAAAGATAAAAGAGAATCCCATATCAATATGTTTCATGATAGCATCTACCTACCTACAAGAGTTCTGCAAATTTTTAAATTTAGACAATCTAATGGTTTTTTATAAAAGTTATTTTTTCAAGAGAAATAGCAGTGAAATAACACACCTACGTGTGTAAAATTATCTGTCATTTAATATTTCATAGTTACTTAGGGTTGGACAATGTAATTTGGAAATCATTAAAATCCTTAAAATTCAGAGTCTAATTAAAATAAATTTAAATACTATGAATATTCTATTTATATATTTACTGTTCTTTTAGAAATGTATCATTTGTCAATCTTTTACTAAAATGATATACAACCTCAGTATTGTGGAGAACCATAGATCAGCCCCTCCGCCATTTTATGATATAGCCTATGAAGCCATTTTGTATTAGGTTTAGTTTTCCTGTAGATCACATGATATGTTCCTGTGGGTGTTTGATGTATCCTTATAAGGTAATAATCTGTTCTCTGTATGCTGATTGGTTGCATTATGGTATATATGTTGCCACCCCTTCCGGGCGCGGAGAGAGAGCGGGGTAGAGATCCGGAGATGAGGAACTAAAGTAAACTCCTTGTGTATCAAGTGTGTGCCTCTTTGCTCACGCGTTGCCCCTGTAGTCGCAGACCGAGTTGCTCAAGGCAATCCGGCTCGCGACAAGTATTTAAGGGTGCTCTGTTGTGGCAGGGTCCATAGAAACTGTAGAAATGTAAAAGGGGTTTGGAAACTTATTGCTGTCCTATTGATAGTGCTTTAGTTGAATATTTAGGTGGGTAGAAGAAGGAAAATAAAATATATTCAGAAGTCTACTAAAAAAAAAGTGAAGTGGAGCTGATGCTCTCCTTAAAATCAAAGGAGCATCAGAGCACTTTGACTTGGTTTAACCCCAGGCCACCACTTAGGAATCTCTTTCTCAGAGGGACCGAAAGGTTACTGGAGCTCTAGCTCTTATGGCCACAGTTTTATCAGCAAGAAAGAGGAAAAAGCAGACGGGCAATACCTTGTCCCTTTATAGGTATACATCACTGTTCTTATATGCTGGTGCCTACTACTCTTATATGTTCTAAAGGAGGATAGGATTTTTTTTTTCAGAGAACACATGCTTAGCTAAAAATGAGGAATTTTGTTACAAAGAAAGAAGAATGGGGGGAAAGGCATTGGGAAGAAGCTGGCAATCAACCACGGAACATCAGATGATTCCTTTGTACAGTTGTACTGAAATCTGCATTTCTAACTTAAAAATGTACCTGTTCCCAGGGATCTTTGTAATTAAAGGGCAACAGAAGACTTAGAGTCAAGTGATTATCCAGAAGTTAGAGTATTGTGGCTTTTGCTGAGGAAACAGGAAAAGAGTAAAGCCTTCTCCACTTGCACTTGAATCTTGGGTTAGAAGTTGACTTAAGATGTTAAAAGGCAGAATGTACTTTATAGAAGGGAAAGGGGCAAATATATAGTGAATGTCACAGAATATGTGACATAAACACTTACCATATTAGAATGTAGAGCAGGCCCAAAGCTGCTAAGCCCCAGAGAAGGTAAGCGGCCTTCCACATAAATAGACCATTGGAGAGATAACTAGAATGAAAACTCCTAAATGCTGCTTGCATAGTCATCTTTCTTTGTGCTGCCTCACATCACTGTTTGGGTACAGATGTTGTTGCCCTGTGTTCATGTAATAATTACTAGTATTCACAATGTTGTTTGTATATATATATATATATATATATATATATATATATATATATATATATAGTTTATTTATTATTCACTTTGTTCTTATCAGTCCATGACTGCATCAGCTCTATAATTCAATTATTTTGCTAAAAGATAGCCAGGTAAAAAAAAAAAAACCTTAAGTATTAATTAATAACGATGATTTTGTTATATCAAAAATAACAATAAGCTGGGTATACTGGCACATGCCTGTAGTCTCAGTACTCAGGAGGCTGAGATGAGAAAATTGTAAGTTTGAGGCCAGCATGGGCTACAATGGTAAGTTCAAGGCCAGGGTATGCTACACAGTAAGTAAAGGGCCAGATCTTGTCTCAAAAGTAACATAAAAATCAAAAGACATTATATTTCTACTATCATCATTCTCTCTCTACAAGGATTCATGCTGAAAAATAATTAGTCAGGTTTCGATATAATGATTAAGGACAACCCCTGAGCATTCACTGTCTCACCTTCATGTAATCCTTATTCAGATCCATAGTTGCAAATATGGTAAGGAATGTAATCTTGCATATTTCTGGGGATGATCTCCAATTGAGTGGGAAATTTTTCTGGCCTGAGCCTTATTGGGTTTGTCTGACTCACCGTATTGAGGTTAGTTTTAATTTCAACTTTATGCAGTGTCTAAGAAATGGTATTGATTTCCTCAGGTTCCCTCAAGAAGAAATTAAATATTCCCAGTGGCAGTATTGATTGTTTTTAAATTAAAAGGAAAGAAATAGTTTAACTCATTTCTACACATGAGGTTTTCAACATTATAAGTAATCAATATCAGTAAGGTGCTTCATAAAAATTAAATATACTCCAAGTGAATGTAAAGAAAATGATACTTTCTGTCTACACATAAATATGACTCTGTTAATGACAGCTACGTTTTTAGCACTGATACTATGGTATGCACTTTATTTTTATTATTGCATTTAATCCTCAATAGCAGAACACTGTAATATTATTAACCTTATTTTATAGAGGAAAAAATAGGTTAAGGAGAGATGAGTATTTCACCTGAAGAATATCAACTAGAAAGATGTTGAACCAAGAGTTAAAGTTCAGGGTTATCCAATTCCAAAGCCTGGACTTTACAAAAGCTTTTCTCATAAACGGTATTTTTGTTTAAAATAATATATCTTATAGTCTCTTACATAGAACCTTTTCTATGCTTTTTTCTTGTTGACTTTGTTTTAGAGCAAGGACACAATTATAGCCCTATCATAAAATTATAAGGTTATTTATATTTTTAAACTATACTTGTAAATTTGAAAACTGTCAATATTTTTAGATAATTATCAATTTATTTGACTCACCGGGAATATTATTAAGGTGCTTCATATCAAAGTCATATCTTTTGGCAAAGTATACATTTTGTATTTCCAGCTCATAGAAGATAGCTGTGGAATAAACAGATTCAAATTAGGAGAAGGGGGAAAAAAAAAAAGAAATACTAAACAATATTCCTCACATTTCATGCAAAGTATTTATTTAGCTATAGCTTTCAGATTGGCATCATTGGGTAAGAATTATGTGCTCTACCTCTTTTTTAACCTTTGAAGAACCAATGAGTAATTATTATCTTTTTTATTTAAAAAAATTACTACTCATAACACTATTGCAATTTTATAGGTGAGTCCTGACAAAACTGTGTGGAGTTTAGATGTTAAACTTTCCAACAGGCTTCTGAGCTGGTGAAAGTGAGGCGACTGATAAACCGGAATTGAGGACAGAGAGCAGCCCTAGGCAGTAGTTCCCCGACTGGCAACAGCACAGCGCTGCTGCAGGGAGAAGGGAATGCTAGCTAGCTCAGGCTTGGCAGGGCACTGCTCAGTAACGGTGAAGGTTACCTGCTGCCCGCAGCGTTGCCCCTGCCTAAAGCTGCCTCGTTGTTGTCTGCTAGACTTCCATCTCAGAGCCAAAACAAAAAAGAGAATGAGAATTTTAATAGGAATCTGTGCTCTGAATTTTCATAGAATTTTTAAAAGATCAAATTCTAGGAAGGGATCTTGAGTTACTGTACCAAAATCCTTTCTCTTTAGACATAAGAAATTAGATCCCTGAAAAGTGCAGTGATCTACATCTCCACAGGACACCTGATACCATTACAAATATTGGGGAAAATGACAAAGTATAAATGAAAGCATGATGTAATTTATTATTATAATCTTTTTACATATATCAACAATGTCTATTGAGATATTTTTAGGTTTACCTGTTATAATTTATACAGTCAAAAAATGACATCATCTTCATCATTAAGGGGGCTCTAATCTAGTCTAGGAAATCACACATATAAACACGATATATAGGTGGTAACTATATAAAACATCAGTGACACAAAACAGTTCTGGCTTATCTATCTACCTGCCCACTCTGTTCACCAATAACTGCTTTAAATATTCATAGGAGAGTGTAATTGCTTCAGGGATATGCCAGGGAGAAGTAAATGTCTAAAGATAAATGTAAGAAGGTTATTTGTCAATATAGAATGAGAGGCATAGAATAGGAGGCTTTCAAAGGGTTTTTTGTTTGTTTTGTTTTTTTCTGAGACAGGGCTTCACTATGTAATTCAGGCTGGCCTAGCACTCACTATGTAGCCCAGGCTGACCTAGAATTTATGATGAGCCTCCTGCCTCAGCCTCCAAAGTGAAAGATTATCTAGTTCTTTCTCAGTTTGGAGATAAAGAAAAGAAGGCCAACAGTTGAGTAAACTTTAACTTACTTACTATCATACTACTTAGTAGCAGATTCAGGATTAACATATAATTCATATGACTAAAGTCAAGGGTTCTTTCTAAATATATGATATTTCAACAATTACTATTCTGGACTTGAAACTTGCTTTCTCCTAATTTATCCATATTTTTGCTCAAAAATTATTAAATTACCACATACTAGATCAGAAATCCAAAAGGTTCTCCAGAAAGTTATGTGACATGACAGTTATCTCTCCTTTACTGATTTAGAAGGAGTGTATAAGGAGGATTGAAGTATACTATCTCCTTCAAATAAGGGATATGAAAATATTTTAAAGTTTGTTATTTAAGACATTTCCATATTAATTAAATTCCAGAATCAAAGTTTTATCATTTTTTCAATTTAAAATTAAATTTTATCCTTGTCTCCATGTACTACAAAGTTCTTTCTTCTATCTTGGGTTTCACCAGAATGTTGGAATACAGGTTGGATAGAAAATGATGGAGTCTGGGCATCTCAGTCATCTTTTATATTTCCTGATGCTGCTCTTTTTCAGGTGAACATGGCCTTGTCTATGCCTTTAATAACAAACTTCAAAAATTTTCTCCATTGCACATTCAATAGCTGATTATTTCTGGCCAGTAGGTGCCATAAGTAAGTGAGGAAAAAAAATTTTTTCCTGCACAGAAAAATTCACAGACCTAATACTCCTACTGCAAAGAGAGAATGTCTTACATCTTCCATGATCAACTTACAGAAAAGGAGACTCAATCATCTGCCTGTAGCTCATCTGTTACCCTCAGTTTATCTTCCTGTCACACAATTTGTAAGAAACTCGAGCTAGAAATATAATGTACCATTCCAAAACAAAATATTATACACAACATTTTGTCCACAAAGGTGTTATTTGTGTCAAATAAAACTGACATATCACAACTTCTATCTGTCCCATTAGCTCTTCCATAGACTGAGTATGTGTGTGTTCCAGAGAGGAGCAAGAGAACATATTTATAAAGCACACATTCAACTCTAGCTGAAATAATCATACTTGAAGTACACTTTTCTATATAGTGCCATGCCTTTTTGGAAGACACATTTTCTTAATTTTACGTAAAGGTTTTTTTATAATAATAAAGGGATATTCCAGGAGTGATTTATTAACCTATGAAAAGTCACATTAAATGCAGATTCTATAAAAGTATAAATTAGCACCATGTCTTAAAGCAGACCAGAGTAGATGGAGGAGGAAAGTGAAAGTGACTGACATACTTTATACTAAGGATTGAGTTAGAAAGTTCACATAGTTTAAGTTAATGTTTACAATAGCAAGAAATAAATATGATTGTCCTCTATATTGACAGAAAAACATAACATGGCTAAACTAGGTAATTTCTAGAAAATTTAACAAAGGAGTGATTTACAGACATTTGAGCAGTATTAGTGGGAACCAACGGAGGGAAAATATAGTTCCCTGGGATTAAAAACAGCAAGGAGGAGAAAGAAGATCTAATTTAAGAGCCAAAACCAGGAAAAGAACATTTCTCAGAATCAGGAGAAGCTGCTCAGAGGATGGAGTCAGGAGTAGAAGGAGATGTAACCAGAGTCACACCCTCTGTAACTACTGAATCAGGTAGAGAAAAAAATGTGTATTGTTACCATTAGGAGCATTTTCCAAAATTCCAACTTCATTCTTCCCATTTAGCTTTCATACACATATCATGTCCATGATACACAGTGAGGGTGGGTATTTCTATGGTCACATTTTAAATGGATCCTTCCATAATCCCTATATACTATCTTTATTTCATTTTCTTTGTTTATTGTTTCTTGATGTGACCAATTCTACTACCATGTGTTTTAATTAATGAAGTTAACAAATATTTATTAGTTGCCTAAAATGTACCACAACTGCTTTGATACTGTAGAGAGTATAACTGCAATATATGACAGGTCTGTATCTCTAAATGTTTATAATCTTTTTTTAAGCAAAAGGCCTCCGTGTGCTACAGCAGGCTCAGAACCAGGAGTTCTGCCCTCCCTAAAGGATGCTACATGGACCCCTGTCCATAAATAGGAGTCCTGTGTGACTTCTTAACTACTTTTTAAACAATACTTTGAACAGTGCTTAGCTCATAGTAGATGCAGAACAAATACTGGTCATTTAATGAATAATAAGAAGATATAAAATTATGGAAATCAAGTATAACGAAGCCTATAAATGTGTAACACACATACAAAAGGGTTGGGGAGCTTGGGAGGAAGATTAGGGATGATCCCCAAAGACTTAGGAAGACTTCTCAGAAATGGAGATGTTAAAATTAGCTTTGTTAGATGAATGAAGATAAAGGAATATAAATGGCAAGGTCATTTGGATACCTTAAACTCAAGAAGGTAAATGACTTGAGTGATTTGGGATTTTCCCGTAGGAAATCAAGGCAAACATAGTAACAGGAAAAAAGTATTTTCTGGAGGAAATACTATAGATGGAAATAATATTAACTTGGCTGATGGAGTAGAGTAACCAACCATCTTGGTTTACCCAGGCCTGATAAATCTTGGGATTTGAGATTTTTCAATGCCAAACTAAAAAACAAAATGTAGGCAAGACAGGACAAGGTGGTCCTGCCCTACTGGAAATGAAAAACGAATAGTAATCAGCTCCCTCTCTGCACTGCCCTGTCCCTGTAAACCCTAGTTGAGGGCATGTTAGTTTTATTCAAGTATAATTTCTCAACTTGTCTTTTTTTATCTTTTGACTACTGGATTATTATGTGTTGGTTGGAAAGCATTCACCCCGTGAATAGCAGCCAGTCATGGCTGAAGATTCTTAGACTGTCAATTTATGTTGCTTTTAGTATACCACAAACTTGGTTCTTGCAAAGTCACCTTTTTTGCCTTGTGGTAAAACTGACTATAAAAATATTCAAGTAGGGAGTTTTTCCTTTAAATGGATTCATAGGAAGTGTTTTTGTGGTTGTTGGTTGCATTTTCTTAACTTTCAGAAGCTACTTGAGAGAGAATTACTCTCATCCCTCAAGAGAAAATACAGGGTTGGAGCAGAGCATTCAGATTCAAAGACTAGAACTATGTGAATTGAATTTGGTTTACCACACTCCATTATTTCCTTGTTGAACTCCTTGTTTCTATCTGCAGAAAAGGGGGTTGCCATATGTAGAACAAAGTTGAAAAATTACATGAGATTTTGTGGAACTGGTTTTCTTCTTCAGGATATAAAGTGGCTAGAACACATAATGGCAGTACTGTCCATTCTAACACTCAAAGCTAAGGCAGCAGTAACTAGTTATCTTTTTCATTACCTTGAAAGCCACAAAATAATTACAGATTTAACTTTGGTAGTTCAAATAATTTGTAACTTTGGGAGCAAGGATTTACAAGAAAGATTTTGCTCCCCTGTGAACTTTACATTTTATATGTCTGTGGATAATTGAGGCTCAACTAATTGGTTTACGTGGTGACTCATTCCTATGGGTAATGGGCAAAAATTGCACGAAGTTTAAATCAGTCTTTTTAGGTAGAAGGCTAGCCATGCAATGAATGGTGAGGTTTTTGAGTTAACTAAGCTAAGCTTTTTCTCCATGCTATTTTATTATTTTTCTCCTCACATAAAAATTTGGGGGTATGTATTTTGATGATCTTTGCTGATAGATGAGAAAATTAATTGCAGTATGGGAAGTTTAAG